CAAACAGCGCCGTCGCCGTGCTGACCAATCTCATACAGATGCAACAATTAGTTCTCAGCTTGACGATTTAGTACCTCAGCTTGATTCAGACTATCTTCTTACGTCAGGGACTTATCATTCCGAATCGTCAGTACCTGATCCACCAACTAATTCATCTCGTGTATCTGATCCATTACTATCCAATCCCTCTTCTTCCACATCCTCCATTCCTATGCGTCCCTCATACTCGTCTGTCGGATCTCCTCAATCTCGGCCGAATCCACAACATTTATCAAGCTCTTCTATACTGAGAGATGATCCTGTTTTTGATTTTTCTACGTCAACTTGCATTTCTTTGGCCTATTCAAATGTCCAACTTTCCTCTGATCATTTAGCCCACCCACACCCTCCTTCGGATATCCTTACCTCTTCCTCAGGCTATCCTTCATTATCCTCTCAGACTTTCGTTTCAAACTTGGATTCGTCCACACGGGATTCTGCGAAAACAGTCAGCACTTTAGAACTGAGATGTCCTGTTTTGGCAGCAGTAGTACCAACGCCACCGCCTACACCAATATGGCCAGTTTCAATGGAGGAAGAGGGGCAAGAACATGAAGGTTTACATGACACGCATGTTGAAACTAATCGGATAGAGCACTTACAAATCGATCGTTCCCAAAATGAGCAGCAACAGCCCTCATGTTCACTATCCTGCTCTCCTTTTAAAGTCTGCCAGTCCTTGTGCTTAATCGGCACTCCTTCGACAGGACTCTCTGGCCATAACCTTCTTCAGTCGCAACAACCAGTTCCGCCTTCGCTTTGCAACCTCGATGAGAGAACTAGCCGAACTGAGGAGATGGCACCCATAGGACTATCTTCAAACTGTTTACAATTCCCAGAATTCACACGTCTAGAATCAGCCTCAGCATTGACCGATTTGGATGGTAAAATCGCTTCTAGACAAACGGCGTCCAGTCAGCTGCCTGCTCACTCTACTCACTCTGCTCATCCAGCTTTGGATTGTCTGCAGACAACAGCTGTAACTAATTCTTTGACCAATATGCGGCGTTCAAGACGTAACGTGACCTTCCAACAATTTTGGACACCTAAACCTTCAAGGCGGAAACGTAAAGGTGAACAGACCATTTTACAAACAGTAGGTACTGGACGACAAACGGAGCCGGCTGCTTGCTTTCCTTCACCTCAGCTCCACAATATCGGCTTGGCTTGAAGCAGCTAGTTCTGGGCCAGTTACAGATTAACCCTAGCAAAAGTGATGCTGTACAAAATTTTAACTTGATTTTTTATTCTGCTTTCACCAGATCATTCCTTATTCATATGTGTATAGCCTCGACACTATCTATTGTTTTATCTATTTCAATAAATGACTTTCTAATATGCCTCTCTTTTTCCTATTTTGCTGTCTAATTTGCATCTATTATCGGCCCTAAAATTTTTTTCTTTATTTTAATCCCCTATACCATATCTATGCTCGCTAACACTATTTGTCGTAAGCAGATTGCTTTTCCATGAGCGATCGGGATTATGTTTGTTTCGTTTACTTATTGGTACCAGATTAATAATGGAGCTCGCGCTATTCTCAATGGGCAAACTTTACTATTTTTAATCGAAGATTTTAAAACCAAGATCGTGTAGCCTTTTGTGTGGTCACAGTCTCTTCGTTGTATATAAGTTGTTTGACTCTGGCTTCGCAACTTGGTCATATTGATAGTAAGACTTAAAGAAACACACCTAGTCTGGATTCTATTGTATGCACGATCATTTTCAGTCAGACCTTGGACATGGCACATTCCCAGACGTGTCGCCTGCATTATAGTTGGCATCGTCACCAGCACCATATTACAGCTCGTAAAATAGACAAGTGAAGCCGATCCTTTGACCAAACGTGTGCTAAACAGTTTTGGTATCTCTCCTATTCTGGGCTATTCACCTTTCCTTTATCTTCGTATCACGCCTTCACTGTCACAATTTATTTATTTTTCCTTGCTTATTTAAATGTAGTGTGGTATGCCCTTTTGAGCGGCTTTCATGAGAACCCTCCACACTCCACGCTGGCGTTCTCACTCCTCTTTACCTTTGGGCCTGGAATGTTGATCAGAGTCTGCCATATTGTTTCGCAGACCAAGATGATATTTCCTTTGGTATGGTCATTGTCTCCTTTCTTTTTTTAGTAGTTGTTTGACTTTGTTTTCATAACTTGGTCATATTAGTAGGAAAATTGGATGAGCACACCATGTCCGAGGTCTATAATATACATAAGCCGGGCTGTAGACTTGGTACACTCCCAGACGTCTCTCCGCGATCATAGTCGGCATCGCCAGTAGCCTTATAATTGTAAGCACCACACTACAACTCATCATCATCATTTTCTAATCTCAGTTCTGCCATCTCGTAACACGATCCCTATGTTGCGTTGAATTGCTTCTTCTGGATATCTGTTTCTAAGAGACAAATAAGTTAGTTTTTCAAGTTCCTTGTCCCAAATCTCAGAATTGGTGTGTTTTAGGCTCCTTATGATCATGCTCCTGATTATCCTACTCTTCCTTCTTAAAGCATTCTAATACAAGAATTCAAAAATTTTCCCCGAGCAATGTCATAGCAGTTGAACAAAGAATTGCACAAGGGATCGCATTCACTTGTTACTTTAATACATTGCAGTTCCTGTGATAAGGATGGCCCCTCTCACCCACGACACAGTAAAAACATCTGGGAATATTTCAAATAACTGTTCATCATCGTGAGTACGGGAAGACGCAGATCGGCGGAATAGGTAATTTTTCATAAGGTCTTTCTGTTACTCCGAACAAATTGCAAAAACGTTTTACCATCAATCCTATACAGCAAAGGAGACTGCAACCAAACAAAAAGCCACATTGTGGATATGTTGAAGAACTCGGCTTCGAAGAGTCCCTCTATTAATTGAAGTTGGAGTACTTTTCATCTCGCTGGAAGAGGAGGCGGGTGGAAGAGATTCTTAAATTGGCCTTATCGGAAACGATAAGGGGATTGATTGTCTTGGAGCTGCGATTAGAGATTTCTGCGAATAGGTCCTCGGCGCACTGCCCTGCGAACCCGATGTATCCATGTTGAACTTCCCTCCGTCATGTGAAGGACATCGTCAGGGCAGGACACCATGATTCATGATAATTCACCAAAATCACGAAGGCAAGAAATGTGAAAGGCTTCAAACCTACCTACTTCTT